TCTGTGGGCTGAATGCAAAGGAGCTGGCTAGAGATCCGGGCTCTTCCCCCGCCCCGCCGGGCAGAGGGACTTTCCCTGGAGCCCTGAGCCCTAAAAACAAGCCGGCTACTTCGGGTTTAATCCCCCGCCCGTGGGCCCCCGCAATGCTGGAGTGCGGCGACCCAGGCGCTAAGGGAACCAGCCTGCACCCCTGGAGCTGCAACCCGGGCTGAATGCAAAGGAGCTGGCTAGAGATCCGGGCTCTTCCCCCGCCCCGCCGGGCAGAGGGACTTTCCCTGGAGCCCTGAGCCCTAAAAACAAGCCGGCTACTTCGGGTTTAATCCCCCGCCCGTGGGCCCCCGCAATGCTGGAGTGCGGCGACCCAGGCGCTAAGGGAACCAGCCTGCACCCCTGGAGCTGCAACCCACGGCGTGGCTAGAACCGGGGGCCCCGGGGCTCCGCCACGCCCCCTGGCTGGAAGTGCTTCCAGGGGGCACAGTGCGCTCCGTGGCTCCCCTGAAGGGAACGCAGCCGCTCCCCAGCCATGCTGGGCTGCCTTGGGCCAGGGGGAGACGTCCCTGGTAGTTGGATTTAGAGACCCGGACTGCGCGCGGCGTGAGAGAGGTGGGGGGTCCAGTCCAGCCCTGCTTCCCTGCCCCCTTCGCAGCCCACTCAGGATGCTGGCCGGCTGGAGAGAGCTCTCTGCAGGGACTGGTGCCACGCTTTGCTGCCTGCTCTTCTTCTGGCTCTTGTACTCTCACCCGCCTAAGGAAGGTAAATCTCTTCTGTATCATACTCCTGCCAGCGCTGCTGCCTTGTGTCTGCTGGGGGAGGGGGACTTTTAAAGGGATTGGGTGTCCTTCTGCCACATGCCACCCCAGACAGCCTGCATCAAAGCCACCTGGTGCCATGTTCCCTCTTATTTTTTTCCCCATCCCTGTGCAAAATAAATGTTGTTCTGTGCACCCATGCATGTGGATGTGCACCACCATTAGAAACCTATGTTGCTGGCTGTGGGTGCTCTGCTAATAAGCTAGGCCCCTTTGCGTCTCTCCTGGGGGACCACTCAATTGCTCAGCTTTACAGGGAAAGCTGCCTGGTATCATGACTTTTACATAGATTTCCCCCTCCCATCTGGGATTTCCCATAGCAGAGCCCTTGGGGGCACAAGGCAAACTTCCCAGCAAGGGTTCCCCACTGGAGAAGAGGTTCAGTCTACTACTAGGCTTGGTCTTTGGTTGCCAAGTGCCTGGCCAGAACTATGGACTGGTTTTCCATCTGAGAGGTGCTGGCTTGGAGGAGGGGGAGGATTCACCTGACTGGGAATCTGGGGGACTGATAAACCTTGGAAGCTAGAGAGTTCAGCAAGGAGAATCCACGGATGCTGGGCCTGTGTGGTGCACTGGGTCAGAGCTGGCTTCTCTTCCCTATTGCCAGCTGCTAAATCACATTAGATATAGTCAGTTCTTCCCCAATGTTTCTTCTCCATGTAAAGCAATTGCTGTAGTTGCCATAGAGTGGAGTCATCCAGTGGGAAGGGAAACAGTCCGTGCCATCATGAGTGAGGATGTGCCTATAGGACAATCTCTCCTTTAAGATCTGCAGATATCCTGGGGAAAAGTTTGCTCAACAGGACTGGGAATTAGGAAGTCTGGGAGCAACACTTGGCTCTTTCATAGACTTCCTATGGGACTATGGACAAGTCCCTTTGGGTGCATCTACACTGGACTCTGAGCTTGAAATAAGCTAGGCAATTTGAGCTACCGCAAACTGCATAGCTTATTTCAAGTTAATTTCAAAATAGCTTATTTTGAAATTTGGTACTATGTACACAGAGTACCGAGCACTATTCCGAAACGTCCCTTAATCCTCACGGAACAAGGCTTACAGGGACATTGGAACAGTGCGCCCGTTATTTCAAAAGCTATAAGTCTCTCTGTGCCTTGGTTTCCCATCTGTGAACTGAATCTCATTATGCCTGTGTTTACAGAGGATTGTTTATTAACAGGGGTGAAGTGCTTAAGTGAAAGGTGAAGGGTGCAAAATATTATTGCTATGGGGGGCTGGCTGGGATAAGTTAAAATAAGCCAAGTTATCTTTAATTGAACAGTCACATATAATGTGGCTTGCAACTTGGGCTCCCAGAGTGATTCTTCTCCCAGACAAGTGAATGGATGGAGAGAGAGAGGTGAAAGTAGGACAGTGAAAGGAAAAATGCCAGATTAAAAAAACTCCAGGGAGCCCTGACAATTTCCCTTTCTGGAGCGTGCTTTAGGTTGTACACTGGTTGAACTTTGTCTAGTTCCATGGGTCCCACTTTCCAGTATTGTCCCAGCTGGTTTCCAGAAGGTACTTTGGGGATGGCCAGACATCTATAAAGTATGAGAGCTGGAATCTCTCTCTCTGTGTTGTTTGCTGATGATATTTTATGCAGTACTGATCCTTTTTATATCTGAAATGAAATTCACTTCCAACACTGCTTAGTGTGTCCCCCAGTTCCTGCCAAAATGGGGAAGGAGAGTGTTACATATGACCCAAGGAAAGACTGTAGGATATTGGAAAAGATGTGACAGATGGCAGAATGAGGAGCAATGGTCTCAAGTTGCAGTGGGGGAGGTCTAGGTTGGATATTAGGAAAAACTATTTCCCTAGGAGGGTGGGGAAGCACTGGGAGGGTTCCCTAGGGATGTGGTGGAATCTCCATCCCTAGAGGTTTTTAAGTCTCCACTTGACACAGCCCTGGCTGGGATGATTGAGTTGGGATTGGTCCTGCTTTGGGCCTCTTGTGGTCTGGGGCCCAAATTTCTATGATTCCATGATTGAAAAAGGCATGAGAGCTGGATGGAAAAAAATGTGGAGAACACCCCTTTTCTATGGGGCCCAATCCTGCAGGAGTGCTGTCCACCCTTGACTCCAGAATGACTTGAGGTTGCTCGGCTCCTCAAAGGACAGGCCCTCAGCTACATATCTCATTTGACTTCCAATATGCTCCTTAGCTTTGTTGCTCCTAATTTGCCGCGTGACTGCTGGGACTGGCAGCAACCTGAACAAACTGTGCCAAGATGCTTGCTCACCCCCTGAATCGGCACCGCTATGCTGAGCGCTTTGGCAAGCAGGCCGCTTCTCCCTCGTCTCTGGAGGCTGCACTTGCAAATGAGGACGTGAGAGGAGCGTTGCTGAGCCATGTGGATCCATAAATAATGCCACAATTATCAACTGTAACTAAACATTTATGCAATAATTCAAATGATGGAGCATTACTCAGTCAAGCAAGAGACCAAGTCTGGCCTCCGGCGTGGAAGAGGCTAGAACTGCGAAAGCCTCTGCTGGGATTAGCAGCGCTATAAGACAGGACAGCTCGGCTACGTCTAGACTGGCATGATTTTCCGGAAATGCTTTTAATGGAAAAGTTTTCTATTAAAAGCATTTTCGGAAAAGAGCGTCTAGATTGGCATGGATGCTTTTCTGCGAAAGCACTTTTTGCGGAAAAGCGTCCGTGCCAATCTAGACGCGCTTTTGCGCAAAAAAAGCCCCGATCGCCATATTCGCCATCGGGGCTTTTTTGCGCAAAACAAATCTGAGCTGTCTACACTGGCCCTTTTGTGCAAAAGTTTTGTGCAAAAGGGACTTTTGCCCGAACGGGAGCAGCATAGTATTTCCGCAAAAACCACTGATTTCAGACAGTAGGAAGTCAGTGCTTTTGCGGAAATTCAAGCGGCCAGTGTAGACAGCTGGCAAGTTTTTCCGGAAAAACAGCTGATTTTCCAGAAAAACTGGCCAGTCTAGACACAGCCCTAGAGGGTGTGATGCTCCCTGACTCCACAGCACCCCCTGCTGGGCCATTTGTAAAGCAGCTGGAACTGGCAGTCATTCATCCATGGTAGAGGTAAAGGACTGCAGCTCACTGATTGTAATGCCAGAGGAAAAGAAACCCCCATTGTTTTTCTGGTTTAAGATATTAAGACAGAATAAAGCCCTGCTTAGCAAATAGACAGAGAAAAAGCCTAATCAGAGAGGCAGCACAATCTAGTGGATTGAAACAGGAAATTCTAAATTCAAACCTCAGCTCTGCCATTAATTCCCAGGATAGGTTTGAGAAAATCTTGTGACCTCTCTCAAGTGGTCCACTGTGAATCAGGTGTGACTCCAGTAAAGTTATTCTGGATTGATACCAGTGTAACTCAGCAGAAAAGTGACCCTCTTTGAATTTGACACTCGTGTGTTTTAGCTTCTTCAGTCTGTATAAAGGGGACAGTTGCACTTACCTACACCAGATGTGGTTTGGCAGGTTTAATCAGTTCATGTTCTATAGGCAACTGTTAAGGATTAGGCTCAACTGTGTGTAGGTGGTAAGATGTGTGCATGTGTGTGTCCTAGTGGAGGGAGAAGCGGTTTCTGGTGATTTTGAGGGAGAGTTCCAATTTAAAAGTCAGTGGCACAAAATGACAACCACACCCCCACCCTCTCTCTGGCTGGCTGGAAGAGCCTAGAATTCGAATGCCTCTAAGGGAGTTTTGAAATGAATCTTCCCCCCTCTGCCCTTGAGGAAAAGGAGTAGAGAGATTTCAGTGAGACCCGAACATTTTCCAAGCCGTGATTCTCAATACCCTTCCCACAGTGCTAGAGAGTTTCTTCTTGGACTACTTAGGATGACAACTGAGAGCAGTTGTTTTCTCTTGTAGTTGTGTGAGTGCAGTGAGCTGGCGGCACCGACTCCTTTAATAAGAGGATTTCGTTTGGATCTGTATTAGATGTTTTCTAAGCTGCCATCACTCTTGTGTTGGAAAATTCTGCAACATGTGACACACAAAATCTCCTCCAGACATTGGAAATTGCCTATCATTCAAATGGCCACAGCTAATTGGCACTATATGTGTGGACAAGGGGGAAATGCTGAATCCTTCTGGTGCAGATCCCAAAGGCATAATAGCAAGTCTCTCATTGATTTTATAGGAACCAGTATTTTGCCCGAGGATGCCTGGCTGGGGACAGCAAACAATTCTGGCTACAAAGCTACCAAACAGTAGGCCAAACAGGGCTCATGTTGGAGCTTTCTAGGGATGTAAAAGTGTACAGGTGTAAACGGTTAGCCGATGGGCCCCCACAACGTGACCCTACCGTCTGACGCAGGCAGTCACAACTGTTTTATAGGAAGCAGGGATGTTAAAATGCATTAAGGGAAATGTGTAACTGCTGAAATTGTCAACGGTTACACATTTACATGGGGGAGGCAGATTCCAGGAGCTGGTGTGCGTGCGTGTGTGGGGGGAAGTCTGCTTTTAAGCTCCTGGGGAGCCGACTACCCCCACCTTGCACTGCTGACTCTTACAGAGGACAGACTAGAGCTACTACACGGGAAAGCCACGTGCCCCTCCTCCCGCATGCTGCCGTCTCTGTATCAGGCAGCAGCGTGGGGGCAGAAGGGTAGGTGGGAGCCAGTGCTCGTGGGGAGCTGGCTCCTACAGAGTGGCCTACCCCCACACATCCTGCTGCCTGATACAGAGGCAGCAGCGTGGGGGGCAGGAGGGGGGGGCAGGTAGATCCCCACATGCACCAGCTCCCGGGAATCCGCCTCCCCCATGTAAATGTGTAATCGCTGAAGTTTTCAGTGGTTACACATTTACCTTAATAAATGCAGTTTAACATCCCTACTTCCTACAGAACAGTTGTGACAGCCTGCATCAGACTGTAGGTTTGCATCAGCAGCAGCGATTCTGCCTGCACCCAGCAAAGGCCAGGAATGGTGGCTGATGCCCCTAATACTCATCCCCCGA